TACCACAGGCTGGGTGGCTTAAACAGCCATTTATTTCCTCATAGCTCTGGAGGCTGTAAGTCTAAGATCAAGGTGTCAGCAGGTTTGGTTTCTTCTGAGGCCTCTCTCCTTGGCTTGTATTGATAGATTGCACCTTCTTGCTGTGTCCTCACATAGTCTTTCCTCTGTGTGAGTATATCCCTAGTGTCTCTAATTTCCTTACTAATGTAAGAACATTAGTCAGATTGGATTAGGGCCACCCTAATGGCCTCATTTTAACTTAATCTTTAAAGACCCTATCCCAAATACTGTCATATTCTGAGCTACTCACGTAGGGCTTCAACATATGAATTTGGCGGGGCGGGAGTGGGGGGGAGGTACGACACAATTCAGCCCATAATAACGTGCAATGTATGGACCCAAGGAGGGAAATTATTTTAAGCCTTTTGACTCACTCATACTGCCAACAGCTTTCTAGGAAAGCTGTATCCATTTATAGTCCTACCAGCAAGGAATGACAGTGCCTATCCCCCAGCACTCTTACTAGTGTTAGTATTATTAAAATATTTTTTTTGTTAACCTGGAAGGCAAAATTGTATGTGATATAATTTAACATAATTTTTGACTATTAATAAGCATAAACAATTTTTATGTTTGGTATTTCTTTTTCTTTCATTCTTTATACATTTATTCATTCAATATATATTTAATGAACTCATGCAATGAAGAAGGCAAAGTGCTGCATACTGAGATTCTAGCAGAGAATGAAATGTAGCCCCTGACATGAAGGAGCATACAGTCTAATGGAGAAGAGAGATGTGTAACAAAATTAACCAAATTATTGATGACAGCTATGATAAGTGTCATGAAGAAGTGTGAGATCTCAGGAGAGTGTCTAATGGTGGTTCACGGGCCTGAATCAATTGGGGTGGTAGGAAAGGCTTTCTGGGGAAATACAGTTTCCATGGTGACTGAAGGGTGATTAGCCAGCGATGAGGTGAAGCGATGGGGTTGTGTGCGGGGTCACAGCCAGAGAGGACCGCTTGTAAAAGTGCCTGTGCTGGGCAGGAGCAGGTGAGCTGGAGGAACTGACAGAAGACCAGTGAGGCTATGTCACTGAAGAGGTGAGGGTGGTGCAAGATGAGGTGTAAAATGAAATGTGATCAGGTATGAGTCTGACGTTGTTTTAACTATGCTGGCTGCTGTGGGAAAAGTGAAATAAAATGAGTAAGGATGAATGCAGGATATCCACTACTACGAGGCTGCTGCTGGAATCTGGGTGAAAGGTAATGATGACTTGGATTAGGGTAGTAACAGTGGTGCTGGAAAAAAGTAGATGGTTTTGAGAGACATTTAAGAGGTGGAATCTGCTGACTTGGCAACTGGATGTGGAGGGGGGCTTCTGAATTACTTGTCCGAGTAACCGGGCAAATGGTGGTGCCGGTTTCTGAGTTCTGGGACACCTGAGAAGCAGGCTTGGGAAGGAGAGATGATGAGTTCAAATTTGGACAAGTCAGGTGGGGTGCCTGTGGGATACCAAGAGGAGAAGTTGAGTGGGCAGAAGCTCAGAAGAGAGGTCTGGGCTAACAAATAAATCAGAAACTCGGTTATAGATGGAAATTGAAGCCTGGGGGTGAGACATTGAGGGAGACAGTGTGAAGTAAGAAAGCAAAGGAAGGGAAGGAGGACTAGTTTAGAGTATCGGGGGACTCCAACAGTTATGAGTAGTTAGAAGGGAGAAGTGAGCAAAAATGTCTAAAACACAGTGACAGAAAGATCAAAGGGAAACCAAGAGGGTGCAGTGGTAAAAAGCAAGGGAAAGACTGTTTCCAGAAGGGTTCAATAGGCAACTGGGTTGAATGCTATGGAGTGACTAAAGACCATTAAGTGCCCAGAATTTGGCAACATGCAGACCAATATCCTGACTAACATTAGTGTTAGATGAAAAAGTGTGAGATAGCCTCATCCACCAGAGGGCAGACAGCAGAAGCAAGAAGAACTACAATCCTGCAGCCTGTGGAACAAAAGCCACATTCACAGAAAGATAGACAAGATGAAAAGGCAGAGGGCTATTACCAGATGAAGGAACAAGATAAAACCCCAGAAAAACAACAAAATGAAGTGGAGATAGGCAACCTTCCAGAAAAAGAATTCAGAATAATGATAGCGAAGATGATCCAGGACCTCGGAAAAAGAATGGAGGCAAAGATTGAGAAGATGCAAGAAATGTTTAACAAAGACCTAGAAGAATTAAAGAACAAACAAACAGAGATGAACAGTACAATAACTGAAATGAAAAGTACACTAGAAGGAATCAATAGCAGAATAACTGAGGCAGAAGAACGGATAAGTGACCTGGAACACAGAAAGGCGGAATTCACTGCTGTGGAACAGAATAAAGAAAAAAGAATGAAAAGAAATGAAGACAGCCTAAGAGACCTCTGGGACAACATTAAATGCAACAACATTTGCATTATAGGGGTCCCAGAAAGAGAAGAGAGAGAGAAAGGACCAGAGAAAATATTTGAAGAGATTATAGTCGAAAACTTCCCAAACATGGGAAAGGAAATAGCCACCCAAGTCCAGGAAGCACAGAGAGTCCCATACAGGATAAACCCAAGGAGAAACACACCGAGACACATAGTAATAAAATTGGCAAAAATTAAAGACAAAGAAAAATTATTGAAAGCAACAAGGGAAAAACGACAAATAACATACAAGGGAACTCCCATAAGGTTAACAGCTGATTTCTCAGCAGAAACTCTACAAGCCAGAAGGGAGTGGCATGATATACTTAAAGTGATGAAAGGGAAGAACTTACAACCAAGATTACTCTACCTGGCAAGGATCTCATTCAGATTTGATGGAGAAATCAAAAGCTTTACAGACAAGCAAAAGCTAAGAGAATACAGCACCACCAAACCAGCTCTACAACAAATGCTAAAGGAACTTCTCTAAGTGGGAAACACAAAAGAAGAAAAGGACCTACAAAAACAAACCCATAACAATTGAGAAAATGGTCATAGGAACATACATATTGATAACTACCTTAAACATGAATGGATTAAATGCTCCAACCAAAAGACACAGGCTTGCTGAATGGATACAAAAGCAAGACCCATCTATATGCTGTCTACAAGAGACCCACTTCAGACCTAGGGACACATACAGACTGAAAGTGAGGGGATGGAAAAAGATATTCCATGCAAATGGAAATCAAAAGAAAGCTGGAGTAGCAATACTCATATCAGATAAAATAGACTTTAAAATAAAGAATGTTACAAGAGACAAGGAAGGACACTTCATAATGATCAAGGGATCAATCCAAGAAGAAAATATAACAATTATACATATATATACACCCAACATAGGAGCACCTCAATACAGAAGGGAACTGCTAACAGCTATTTTTTGCCATATTACAAGGTACTACAGAGTGAGGCCTGGAAGGACTTGAAGGTAACAACTCCAGCTTTTTGACAAATTCTTTGAGAAACCTGAGGACCTCCCCCACCCCTAAAGAGGCTATCATTTACCCAAGGTCACACAGCTAGTGAGTAGCAGATTGACATACCTGGGTTTTCTGATTTCAGATCTGCTGGCCTTGTTGCTCCAAGTTAGTAGTTAGTAATGCCAGCATGCAGAAAGAGCACAGAGTGTGGTTACAACTGACTTGGATTGCAATCCTAGCTCTTCCCTTTATCAGCCATGTAGCTTTAGAAAAGCCATTTAATCAGCTTTTCTCAGATAAATAATAGCACTGTGGAAAAGCAAGTTTCTGCTTGTTGTGAGGGGCAAGTGTGTCTGCACATAGGAGGTGCTCCATCAACGGGACCTCATCTCAAACTCCAAACCTAGGTGTCTTGTATCCCAGAGTATGGGCCCCTTTGCCCACACGCTTGTGAAATGGGTCTAATCCTCTGTAACACATGAAATGCCAAGAAATCCTAAAGTCTCCATCAATTTTTATCATATGAAGTTTATACAGCATCATCCATTATAAGAAAAATACATATTAAAACAATAATACTATCTCACTCTTCCTATTTGTTGGCAGTTTGGGGAAACAGGCACACTCATGGTTTGGAATATTAATTTGTATCACCTCTTTGGAGAATAATTTGACAATACATATCACAATTTAAAATGCACTTATTCTTTATTAACCTACCTGTTTCACTTTTACAGATACATTCATACACATCCAAAATGTATATCATTGCAGCATTCTCTGCTACAGCAAAGTTTGCACAGGAACTAAATATACCTTTTAAAAAACAAAAACAAACAAACAAAAAAGAAAAAGTGTGAGTGAAAAAGCTGGAGTGGAGTGGGTTGGGGAGTGAGAGAAATTAACAGAGCAAGTGTCACAATTCTTTCCAGAAGTTTGGTTTATCTGAACTATCTTTTTTTTCATCATTTTCCAATTGTGATTTTAACACTGATGTCATTGTAGTAACATGACCTCTATGTTTGTGTGTATTATGTGAAATACCCTTATTTTCAGAATATTTATTAAACATGCAGCAAATATTTTTAAAGTTTTTTCGTCTACCATATTATATGTTGCTTTTTAGGCACATTAGCTTTATTTTTATATAGCTAAATTAATTTTTTTCCTTATGACTTCTTCCATTGCTCTTTTGCTTAGAAATTCCTTCTCCATACAGAAAGCACACAGATATTTGCCTTTGTATTATTTCTTAAATGTTTATGGCTTCATTGAAAATTTATTTTGATCATTTTGAAATTTATTTTTACATATCAATTTAAGGCTGGAGCACTTTATTATACCACCCTAATGATAGAGGAGCAACATAGCTAATCTTGGGATGTTCTACTTACTGTTTTGACCAACTGACCCCACTGCCTCATTGCAGGAGAAAGCTCCTACTGATCAAGAAGATAAAATTTCAGTCCAACATGAGATTTGTTTGGTTAGTAATTTATGGACATTCTGTCTCTGTGCTAATATTGTGCAGTCTCTTTATATTGTAAAATTTTTAATTCTGTTTTCCCAGTTTCCTGTGCTTCCCAGCATGATGTCATCTGACAGCCATCCTAGAAGTCATTCTTATGAGGACCAGGGATTTCAATGCCATACTCACGTGCGGGATTACAGAAAATACTCAGGGGATGGGTCATTCAAGGAGCCCCTGGAATCAAAAAGAAGATCCCATTCCAAAATTCAGGCATTTTCAGAGTCCTTTGAACAGCAACTCTGCTTTAGAACCAAACGCTCTGTCTCTTCGGTACGTAACAGAGTTATTGAATATTTAAACCATTTTAGAAAAGGAAACCCAAAGGATTCATCCTCCCCTAGTTTGAGGAGAACAAATCTAACTTCTTCATTTACAGGTTGGTTTTGTGATCTTTGAAAAATGGCACTCAGTTTTAGATAGCCCAGGTGTACATAAAATTGTAAAATCATTATTATTGAAGACATGTGGTGTAGGAAGAATTCCTAAAGGAGCACATGTGGAATGTTTTTGTTACCAAGGTCCTCTGTTTTCATCACCCTTATTATAAATAATTGTGATTCGTTCTCTTTTTACTATCTGAAGAAGAAAAAACTGCCCCTACTGCTCTTGTTCTCTCATATTTAATCTGGTAGGAAATAGTTTGTGATGGTGTTGTGTTCCCCCGTACTTTTAAAAAGCACACAGAAGGAACTCTCTGGACACTATGGTGTGAGTATCCAGGAGTAGAGGAGCAATCCAGGCATTCACAGTGGCCTCGTCAGAGTCTAATTGAAGCCCAAGGGAGACAAAGGCACGAAATGGGGGAAAGAATTGAAACACCACTGATGATGCCAAACTTGATACATAAAGCAATAAACTAGAGACCAATTAATTGGGGGGTAGTTTTTCAACTCTGCAATGTGCTCACTGAGTGGCCTTGAGCAAAATACTTTTTTTTTTTGGTGGGTCTTTGGTTTTGGTTTTATTTTGCGAAACAAGAATAATGATATGTTTCTGCCATGTAGTAGGCAGAGCAAATAAGTAAACCTAGGTGTATTGCCACCTGGGTCTTGAGCTATGCTCTGTGAATGGCCAGGGGAAGGCACTCAGGTGCTTGCTACCTCATTGTCCACCTGAGTGCGGTGCTTTCTGCCTAGCAGTGATGGCTGTTGGGATTGTCACTGTGCATCTTTGCCTCACAGGTGGCACCTCACTTTTGTCCCAGTGACCTTGTGTATCTACGATTCCCCTTCAGTAAGCTGCTCTCTCTACTGGATCATAAGAGGAATAAGGAAGGAGGAGTAGTGAACAGCTGTCACTTACTCTATCTAAACCTTATTAAGTTTCTGTTTTGTCTTTTCTTTATACTGTTTTTTTAAGATATGGTTTCAGACTTAGAGCAAGGTTGCAAGAATAGTACAAAACTACACCCTTCATCTAGATTTCCTCTAAACGTGAATATATTATCACATTTTCCTATACCCTCTCTCTCCTTCCCACCCCCAAACAAGGGCACAAGGACATAATACAGTACAATAATTAAACTCAGGAAATTAACACCAATACAAAACTTTTATATCTAATTTATTGACCTTATTCATATTTTGTCAGTTGTTCCAATAATATTTTTTAAAACAAGATTCCAGATCATGCAATGCAACCAATTTTCATGTCCCTTTAAGGTATTTTATTTCTGGAACAATGCCTCGGTCTTTTTCATGGAACTGGCATCTGAAGAGTACAGGTCAGTTATTTTTTAGAATGAAGCTCAGTTTGAGTTCATCTGATATTTCTTCATGATTAGATTCACATTATGAACTTTTGGCAGGAATAAAACAGGCGTGAAAAAATTCCTGTTTCAAAACTACGTGTTGAAATCATTAATTATATTAATTAGGGGACTGACTTGCTTTAAATTCTTTCTGGAACAAGGGAGGGTATAAATATATTCTGAAAAAAATTTTAATCTGAACAATTCTTTGTTGATTCTGATGGCTTCAGAAAAAACATTCATATCACATATTTACATAAGGGTGTAAATGTGAAATCAGTTTTTATTTAAAGAGATGTTCATTACATTATCCTTAAAATATAAAAATCTTTGTTTCATTCATTTCTCAAGTTCTTCCTTTTGAGTACCAAGATAACCAAGGCAGCATTTTCAACTTTTTTGACTCAAGAACTCTTTTCATAGTTATGTACAGTCGGTCTTTTTTGTCTTTGGGTTCTGTACCCATGAACTTGAGCATCCATGGATTTTGGTACCTGTGGGCGGTCCTGGAACCAACACCTTTGTGGATACCAAGGGACAACTGTATAATAGCTAGAAACCTGCTAGGAATTTACAAAATCATTAAAAATTTTTTCATATTATATGATAAATATACATGATAAATAATTTTAAATTCAGTATTTATTTTATATCAGTCTTTAAAGAGTATATTATAAAGTTTATCTTAATGCAAAATAAAAAATTTGGAACATTGCATACTTTAAAACTTTTCTATTTAACAATTGATACACTTTTCTAAAGCTAACTACATTAAAAAGTGTGATTTTTCAGCAATTTAAAAAATAATATATATTGCCTTTTTTTTGTTTTGTTTTGTTTGTTTTTTGTTTGTTTGTTTCTTGCGGTACGCGGGCCTCTCACTGTTGTGGCCTACTCCCGTTGCGGAGCACAGGCTCCGGACGCGCAGGCCCAGCGGCCATGGCTCACCAGCCCAGCCGCTCCGCGGCATGTGGGAACTTCCCGGACTGGGGCACGAACCCGTGTCCCCTGAATCGGCAGGCGGATTCTCAACCACTGCGCCACCAGGGAAGCCCTGTAATTTAAGGGAGTGAACATAAGGAGGTTAGAATCATTCCGGGTATGATTCCCTTGCCACGTTCCTTTTCAAAAAGCACCAGAAGTATATTAATTCTACCGTGCCGTGGAATCACATCCCTCTGTACATTAGAGGCAGAGTAGTGTGCAGGTTGAGTTTCCTCCATAGACCACCTGCTAATGCCCAAGGCCCCCTATTCCTTTATTTTATGACTAAACCTTTAGCAACACCCTTAGGCTTATGCTAATTTATTACTAGAAACTAAGATGTGAAAGTCTGCTAAATGATTAGGGTTTTCTTCATTTCTGATAATTAGGAAAAGTGTGGAATGTTGTCAGCTGTCGGCATATCTACCCTTTTCTGACCCTTCTTTTTCAGGGACCTGAGAGCAGAAAGGAGAGAGATGAGAGAGAATGCCGGGCACTGGAAATGAGGTCTTGCAAGAAAGGGAAGGAAGAGCGTGGAGAAGCGTACCTGCCCACCCTGTCTGAAAAGGGGCCCAAATAGTACTTTGTTTCCACACCATGACTACTGATGCTGCTGTGCTTTTCTGAGCCCCAGTTCGCCAGGCCCAGGAGCGGTAGCTGCAAAGAGCCCGCAGATGCTGAGTGACTCGAGTGGGTGGTTGATTCAGCTGCTCCCCAAGACAGCTTGCACCACACTCCAGCTGCTTCTCAGAGTGTGATCTGCTCTGTTGCCCTTTTATGGGAATAAAAAGGATAAAAGGTATTTTAATAGCCTAAAGTAATTGTTGAAAATGTGAAGAGAGATATTTAAAGAGCCACCCACACATCTTCACCAACCCTTCTTCCACATCACCCTGGCAAATAATCTTAAATAAAAGTCATTGGTGTGACTCGATGCTTACTTCCTTATTAGAAGTAATTATATAAGTATGTCTAAAGGCCATCATTTAATGAGAGCTGGTAATTAAGGTGCCAAGTACTGTGCTGAGAGTTTGAATGCATTACCTAATAGTCCTCACCACTCTGAGGTGGGACCTTGTCTTCTTTTCACTTGCTGGCTGAGGAAACTGGAGTTTAGGATAAAGTTCAGTCACTCACTGGGGAGGTGGCAGAGTTAGGGCCGGAGCCCAGTTCATGCTGACTCATGTTCCTAACTTGAGGCAGGACCTTCATTTCCCTTTTGCAGTGGGTCCTGACTTAGTAGGTGTGTGATTTGCTTGTGAACGGGCAGATGTGAATGAGAAAAGCAGGACTTGGGAGTGGGTTACAATTTTGATTACGTGGGTGGAGACTGAATCTCCGAGATCAGCTTTATGCTCTGAGTTTTAACTTTATGAGACTATTTATTTTTTATTGAGGTATAAGTGACATGTAACATTATATTAGTTTCAGGGGTCCAACGTAATGATTCAGTATTTGTATGTATTGTGAAATGATTGCCACAGTAAATCTAGTTAACATCTATCACCATACATAGTTACACATTTTTTTCTTGTGATGAGAACTTTTAAGATCTACTCTCTTAGCAACTTTCAAATATACAATACAATATTGTCAACTATAGTCACCATGCTGTACATTACATCGCATGATTTATTTAAAACGTATGGACCACCTCACAAATTTGCTTGTCATCTTTGCACAGGAGCTGTGCTAATCCTCTCTGTATCCAGAGAAGTTCCAGTTTGAGTGTATGTGCTGCCGAAGCAGGCACTTCTTTTTTTCCCCTGGCTTTATACTTTATATTGAAGTATAATTGACAAACAAAATTGTATATATTTTCATTGCACAGCATGATTGGTATGTGTATGAGTATTTGACATACTTTGTAAAATCATCACCACGATCAGGTTAATTAACATATTGAGGCCATATTCTGTTTTTTTCCCTAGAAGAAAAGATAGTAGAATTCTCCCTATTTATTCTTTGTCTCTGTCTTGGATCATCAAATGCCCAAGGGAAGCTAGAATCTCTGTTTTGTAAAGAAGAAGGTCTCTCAAAACTACTACTCATTACTAATGTCGGAACTTACTGCTTATGTAAGAACAAACTAACTTTGGCATAGACAATAAAAAGAAGGAAAAGGAGAGAGAAAAAGAGAAGAGGAAAACAGTGAAAGAAAAGTAAAATAGTGATGATCATTAATTTGCATTCTTTCAATTCATACAACTTATACCTTCACCATTTTGAACTGACAGTTTCATGCAGCTTTTTAATGATCATTTTTCACACAGGTAAAAGATGGCTTCAGCTATTACACGGTGTGTTTGCCTGTTATTTGCCACCGCCAAGGGGGAGGATGGGACCTGACCTTCCTTTGAGGTCTGTGTTATACTACGTGTTGTTTTCACACCCTTGCTTTGGGTACTTTTCAGTCTTGCTAACCAAGTTTCAGATTTGGGGATGGTCTACTCACCTGCTGTGGCCCCAAAAGAAAGGTCTGGGGAGAGGTGGCCCACCCATGGAAAGGAGAGACGCCTGGAGTTCCCATGGCCCATTGGCTGGCTGGCAGAGACAGTAGCCACCTTCCACTCCAGCCAGGATGTCTGTGAAGTTTCTTCCCCTTCAAGGATAGCAGTACCTGGGAAAATTAGGATTAGGACTTTTATACTATATTTTATCAAATTGGAGGAAAGTCTGTTTTCAACACACTTTCAGGACCATAGTAAATGGAAGAGGGGGGACTCTCTGAATATGAAGGTGACAGCTTATTGCCTTTTTAAAATATCACAAAATGATAGTCGTCATAATAAAAATACAGATCAAGAAAAAGAATGAAAATTAAAAACTCTTATTGTACCTACTCGGAGATAAACATGGTTAATACTTTGTTGTCTGTCCTTCCAGAATATTATCTATGTGTATACAGAAACACACACACACACACACACATACACACACGCACACTTTTTTCCAAACATGAGTTCATTTCAGTTAATAGTGTATCATTTACATCTTTTAAAATAGTCAAGTGCATAATTTTAATGGTTCCTTGCTTAAAACATTCTCAAGTCTCTTCCATCTTTTTTTTTTTTTTTGCGGTACGCGGGTCTCTCACTGTTGTGGCCTCTCCCGTTGCTGAGCACAGGCTCCGGACGCGCAGGCTCAGCGGCCATGGCTCACGGGCCTAGCCGCTCCGCGGCATGTGGGATCTTCCCCGACCTGGGCACGAACCTGTGTCCCCTGCATCGGCAGGCGGACTCTCAACCACTGCGCCACCAGGGAAGCCCAAGTCTCTTCCATCTTAAAAACTTCCCTCATAATATACAGATAGGTACCACTTTTTTTTTTCTTTTTTGGCCACGTGGCTTGTGAGCTCTTAGTTTCCCTACCAGGGATTGAACCTGGGCCCTCGGCAGTGTAAGCACCAAGTCCTAACCACTGGACTGCCAGGGGATTCCTGCAAACTCATTTTTTTAAAGTAAATAATTATTTCTTGCCCTGCCTGCCCCCAATCTGTTTTCCCTGTCTCAGTGAATGGTTAGCATAATTTACCAGTTGTCAACAAAGAACCTGGTTGGGTTTGAAACCATCACGTACTCTTCTTGTTCTCCATTCAAATAATTATCAACTTCTGCTTATTTTGCCTCTAAATATCACTTGCACCTACCAAATTCCATTCTCATTGCCAGCATCCCACATCAGGCCCTTTATATCTTGCCTTGATTCCAACAAAAATGATAATATTTTGGATATGTTTGGTTAAATAAAATATATTATTAAAATTAATTTCTCCTGTTTTTTCCCTATTTTAATGTCGCTACTATTAGAAAATTTAAAATTACCTCTATGTCTCATATTTCTATTGGGCAGCAATTATCTATACTCTAACTCTCAAGCCTCTTTTTATATTACTTGAATTTTATTTTTTAAATTCTAGGAGGCTTAAAAATAATTGGAATTTAATTAATCCATGGTATTATTTTGGGTTAACTGGCCTAATACTAGTTACAACATTTTAAAGTTTATTAACCTGATTCTTTTTTCCTCCCTTCCTTCCTTCCTTCCTTTCCCCCTTCCTTCCTTTCTTCCTTCCTTCCTCCCTATTCTCTCCAAATAAAAATATCTCTGTTTATTCATATTCTCTTCTGTACTATAGTATGACTCATGTCGGTTTTATCATGTAATGATTTACTTACATCTGTCTTCCCATCTAGACTGTGAACTCTTAGTAGTAGGAACCATATCTTAATCATCTTTGCATTCCCAGAACCCTTGCCTTTCACATAGTAGTGACGTAATAGATATAGTCTGAGAATGTGACTCTGAACAACCAGGGTTCTAGAACTTGAATTAATCCTGCCTATTTTAGGCAAGACACTGTCATATGATACTCTCTTGAAATAAAAAATTGTGTTGTAGATAGTATTCCCCCCCAATGGAAACATTTTTTACTTATAAAAATAACAGTATCGGACTTCCCTGGTGGCGCAGTGGTTAAGAATCCACCTGCCAATCCAGGAGATGCAGGTTCGAGCCCTGGTTCAGGAAGATGCCACATGCCGCGGAGCAACTAAGCCCGTGCGCCACAACTACTGAGCCTGTGCTCTAGAGCCTGGGAGCCACAACTACTGAAGCCCTCGAGCCACAACTATGGAAGCCCACGCGCCTAGAGCCCGTGCTCTGCGACAAGAGAAGCCACCGCAATGAGAAGCCTGCGCACCGCAATGAAGACTAGCCCTCGCTCGCCGCAACTAGAGAAAGCCCACGTGCAGCAACGAAGACCCAACGCAGCCAAAAATAAATAAATAAAATCTACGTTTTAAAAAAACCCAAAAAACAAAAAAAACAGTATCTGACATACTTTCAAATAATACAGACGCATGTAAAATAGAAAGTGACTGTCCTCTGGAAAAGACCAGTGTCAGAAATACGAAATTAATACAGTTGAGCACTACTGTCAAGGCACACTGATTACTCTAGGGGGCAGACTTGAGCCGACCTTTGGATGATAATGCTGGACACAGAGAAGGGCCGATGACAAAATCACTAACATTACTTTCAGACAGAAAAGAGAACTGCAGCATTTCCTATCCAAACTCTTGGAGGTGGGTTTAAACTAATTATATGTTGAGTAATTTTTATGACTTATTAATGTATTTAAAGGTACACATGAGGGAGGATGACAAACTGGTTATCTCCATGGGGCATGAAAAAAGAAAGAGGCATAAAATACTTGTGCAGATGATTTACACTTGCACAATGGGAAATTTTAAACTGGCAAAGGGAGGGATTATAAATTCTAATGATCTCTGTCTTTGGAGTTTTTAACATCCTACTGTAACCTTGGATTATCTAATTCTGTTTTGGCTGAGTTCCTGCTACAACTTTGGAGCCAGTTATCATAGTAGTTGACTGAGAACAGTTCTGCCCCATCTGCTTGTATGGAGATGTGAGGAAAAAAACAACGGTGAATGGGAACCCTAGTGTACTGTTGATGGGAACGTAAATTGGTGCAGCCACTATGGACAAGGGTATGGAGGTTCCTCAAAAAATTAAAAATAGAACTACCATATAATCCAGCAATTCCACTTCTGAGTATTGATGTGAAGGAAACAAAACAGTAGCTCAAAAACATATCTGCACTCCCATGTTCATTGCAGCATTATTTACAACAGCCAAGATGTGGAAACAATCTAAGTCTCCATTGATGAGTGAATGGATAAAGAAGATGTGGTACATATATATGTATGTATGTGTATATATAATATATATATATATACAAATGGAATATTATTCAGCCATAAAAACAATGAAATCTTGCCATTCACGACAACTTGGATGGACCTAGAGGGCATTATGCTAAGTGAAATAAGTCAAACAGAGAAAGACAAACACTG